CTTGAGAAGATTTGGCTTACAGACCAAGGTTCGCCAAGTGAGATTTCATGGCCCAAAATGGAGACCTGAAGCAGCCCCAGTGATGTTATTAAGCATTAACCACAGTCACCAAGAGCATGTCGTTCACATAAAAAAACCACAACATTTAACAAATGAGCAAATATGTCACTGGTTAGAAAGATAACGATAGAAAGCTTAGCGAAAAGGTGTTTTCCCAGGTCCAGCTAAAACACTGTGCTTAAGGCACAGGATGGAACGGGAATTGTAGTCCACCAAAGTAAAAATTGCAAGGATCCTCTTTTCACACTAAGAACAGATGTTTCCAAACTTCTGCTTTACACATGTAGCAGGAAAACACACACCCCAATCATTCAGTTTGCACAAACTTCACACACACTCACACACTACATATGCTACACTTCTGTTATAAATTCATAGAAAATCAACCATACATCGGATTTGCACTGTTCCACTTTTATTTTACTCCATGAAGGAAGGACTACAAAATGGGGAAGGTTTGATACAGGGCACCCATAATCCCTTCAGCATACCAGCACATCCACAGGAGCCCTGCCCAGTTGCTATGCCAACCCTGATGGTCCTAGTGTGGTGCCAGTGTGGTGTAGTGGTTAAGAGCAGTAGACTCGTAATCTGGGGAACCAGGTTCCCGTCTCCGCTCCTCCACATGCAGCTGTTGGGTGACCTTGGGCCAGTCACACTTCTCTGAAGTCTCTCAGCCCCACTCACCTCACAGGGTGTTTGTTGTGGAGCAGGAAGGGAAAGGAGAATGTTAGCCGCTTTGAGGCTCCTTAAAGGGAGTGAAAGGCGGGATATCAAATCCAAACTCTTCTTCTTCTTCTAGACAGAAGGCCATCAAGATCACAAAGAACTTGCATATGGTAGTGGATTCAGCACAGACTGGAACAAAGGACAATAATCAGCTCTTCCCTCTGGGGGCAGGAAACTGCAAACTCCCCTCTGTCACCTGGAAAGTACTCATGGGGAGGGGGAAAGGGGGAACCAGCCAGGTGACAGGACACTCAGGTTACCACCACAACTCCTCCCTCAGCCCCTCCTTTCTGTGATGTATGCATGATGTTTCTGGGGGTGGGCTTGATCTACAGGAGGGGAATTTCAAAAGTTTTTATAAGACCTTGCACACCATTTTTTCTGTGTCCTTCCTCTCGCCTGCAAGTGAGGGGAGCACCCTCCCCTCAATAAAGGCCAAGCCTACAGGCTGCTGTTTTGCTCCAAGTTATCCTGGTTGGTGTCTTTGTTTTTGTCCAAGGGAGCCCTCGGATTTTTCCGGTAACACACATCAGCACAATTTATTTCCAAAGCTCTTTGGTGGGATGAGGAGAACCAAAAATACCACTGGACTAGCAGAAGCTAGAGAACATTACACTCTTTTTAAAAGCCCCACATCACCCTTCAGTTGCCAGGTTATAGGCCCATTCTTAATAATTGAGACAGTGAAAATGTGTAACAGCATTTAATCAGGGACATTCTGTCATGGAACAGTTCGTTTTTCAGCTGGGCTAATACAACCACAGGTACATGTCAAACCTTTGTGTTGCTCTTTTCCTAGGCACCTTTCACAGGCATAAGCAGCTGGATCACCCTTTACTTATGTCTCAAATTTGTTTCCTTATTTGTTGGCCTTCATGAAACACTGCAGTACTTAGATTTTTTAGATGATTTATGATGGGTGTTGTCTCTGCACTTTTTTTAGCAGCAGTCTGGTTTGCGGGTAAGTTCCCACAGGCTTTTGTGCAGGCATTTGACATATCAATTTGGCACCACTGCAACAGAGATGAGAAGCATGATTGCACTGTGTAGCTAGCAGTGCTGTAGGCATCCAGGTTGTACAATGATCCGTCTTGGCCTGTCAAACCTGCACCCTCTCAAAAGGTTATGATAAAAGGACTGGCATTTATATTTTGAAGCATTCCTACCAATTAATAATAATAATAATAATTTATTATTTGTACCCCGCCCACCTGGGAAAACTACTGTAGCTATCCTTCCACAAGCTGACAGGACAGGCCTGATATCTTCAGAAGGGTATACTATGTTTGCAAATTTCATCAATTTCTATCAAGAAATTTAAAAAGTGGTAGATGTTTCCCTTTAAAAAGAAGCAAACTTTAAGCACATCCAGAATAAACAAATAAACCAAAACTGGATCTATTCACCTGTAATTAGGACTGCTATATGAACTGTGCAGTGGTTACAATGCCTGCAAATTCCATTCACTTCTGCCAATAGAGGGAAAATGTTATATCCATTTTTTAGTCCTCATAATAGAAGAAGAGTTTGGATTTGATATCCCGCTTTATCACTACTCTAAGGAGTCTCAAAGTGGCTAACAATCTCCTTTCCCTTCCTCCCCCACAACAAACACTCTGTGAGGTGAGTGGGGCTGAGAGACTTCAGAGAAGTGTGACTGGCCCAAGGTCACCCAGCAGCTGCATGTGGAGGAGCGGAGACGCGAACCCGGTTCTCCAGATTACGAGTCCACCGCTCTTAACCATTACACCACACTGAGCAGGGCAGGAAGTAGCTTCGTTTTTCCCCCAGAACTGGATTTGGACCCTGAGGTGAATCAAGCAACCTCAGAAGTGCTTCAGACAAAAGTGAACTATTTCCCAAGCAGCTGAATCAGGATCTACCAAATACTGTGGTGGGTTCACACTTCTAACATTGTAAGCAGCACTTAAAATGCACAAGTCTGGCTAATTAAAAAGGAAGATTTATTGCAAAGAACAAACAGAAAGTCCAGCAGGTCGCTCCTGAGCAGCCTCCATTACAGCCTACGATGACTCAACTGGACTTTGGTTTCCCTTTCTCTTACTATGGAAGAAGCAACGGAAGTACGTCTTTTCCCTGCGCTGCTTCTCCCTCTATGTTGTAAGCCTCCCCTCCAGTGACGTCTGTGACTGATGGGCTCCAATTCCCTTTCTGACAAGCTGTCACTCTGTGCAGGCTCCCGCTCTACCACTTGACCCCTCACCTAGATCCTGCCTGCTTGTTTCCTTGGCAACTTGCAGTCCATTCTCTCCTTGCCCCCTCTCTTCAGACTCTGCTGGCATGTGCTCTCCAGACAGCGGCAAATTCTTATATAAGGGTTCTTCCATCTTGACAAACATGTAAAATAATGATGACCCCTGAGACTGGAATTCCAGGTGTGGAATCCCTAGTCTGACATTCCAGTCCCAGAGACTCAACATTCTAGTCCCAGGCCTGTCATTCTATCCTCATGGGTCTTGGACTGCACTCCAAGCAGTCCCAGGTCTATAATTCCAGTGCCAGAGGCTGGAGAACCCATAATCCAAACAAGTTAGTCACAAGTCATCTATCCAAGCTAGCCTCACTTGGGAGAGCCTTCTCCCAACCAAACAGGTTTATTTTCATCCATCCCAGACAACCTGTGATGGAGAGGCATAGCAGTCCACAGTCCTCTAATCAAGGCACATTAAGCTCTTGTTCCAAGTCTGCATCAATCTTCTTTGGTGATCACTTGTAGCCAAGTAAGATTGTTTTCCAAAACAGGGTTTTAGCAGTCAGTCCATAAGTGACTGTGGAGGCCAATTCTGGATCCACACGTCCTTCCACAGTAGGGACACTGGTTTCCGGGTGGGAGTTGATCACGGTGTGGATTTGCCAAGCGTGCCTTCCTCTTAGCACGTTTCTCCCTTGCGTCCAGAGTTCGAGTGCCTTCAAAGCCCACCTTTGGTAAAGGCTGTTCTCCAACTGGAACGCTCACAGGCCAGTGTTTCCAAGTTGTATGTGTTTATACTACATTTTTAAAGATTTGCCTTGAGACAGTCTTTAAACCTCTTTTGTTGACCACCAGCATTACACTTTCCATTTTTAAGCTGGGAATAGAGTACAGTGGTACCTTGCAAGACGAATGCCTCGCAAGACGGAAAACTCGCAAGACGAAAGGGTTTTTTGAGCTGCTTTGCAAGACGATTTTCCCTATGGGCTTGCTTCGCAAGACGGAAACGTCTTGCAAGTTTGTTTCCTTTTTCTTAACACCGTTAATACAGTTGCGACTTGACTTCGAGGAGCAACTCATAGCACGCGGTGTGGTAATAATAATAATAAGCATGCGGATGGGTAACCTTTTTTGAGGTTTTTAAAGACTTTGGTGATTTTTGAAGCTTTTCCAAAACTTTCCCGACACCGTGCTTTGCAAGACGAAAAACATCGCGGAACGAATTTATTTTGTCTTGCGAGGCACCACTGTAGTTGCTTTGGAAGACGATCGTCAGGCATCCGCACAACATGACCAGTCCAACGAAGTTGATGTTGAAGAATGTTGATGTTGAACACTGGTGATCTTTGCTTCTTCCAGTACACTGGCATTAGTTCTCCTGTCTTCCCAAGTGATGTATCAAATTTTCAGAGACCCAGTTGATGGAATCTTTCGAGGAGCTGGAGGTGGCGTTTATCAGTGGTCCATGTTTCACAAGCATACAGTAATGTTGGTAGTACAATAGCTTTCTAAAAAAACAAGCATTTTGGTTTCCCTGCGAATGTCCCGGTCCTCAAACACTCTGGACTGCAATCGGGAGAAAGCTCCCTGTGGCCCTTGGGGAAAGAGAACTGCCCAGGCACCTCCCCCCCCCGCGCTGTGTCTTCAGCTCTTCAGGCGCCCATCAAAGAGCCAGAATGACGCGCCTGCCGCGGCTGCTCCTCGATGACGTCACTGCCCTCCCGCCCCCTTTCTCGCGCGAGGCCCACCTGACCGTCACGCGCCGCGCGGGTTCGGGCGACGGCCCGTTGCTAAGGCGCCTCGGCCAGGGCCGCGGAAAGAGCCCCCCTGCTGCCGACCAATCGCCAGCCCCGCTCTCCGCTGCGGTCGAGCTCACGGGCCGCCGCGGCTGCCACTCGGGTAGGTCGCCCGCTATTGCCCCTTCGCTCCAGCCTATCAGCGGCCGACGTGGAGGAGCTCCGCCCCACGCCGCCGCCCCCTTCTCAGCTGGTGCTGCCGGCGGGGGGGAGGGCGAGGGGGCTGTCTGCCGCGAACCAATCAGCGGAGACCGCCGGGGTAAGGGGCGTGGCCAAGGCTCTGGCGAGGAGAGGAAGCGTCCGGTGAGCCGGGGCGGGGGGCGCGGGCGAGCTGGAGCCCCGGGGGGCTGGGGGGGGGCGCAGGCCGAGACCCCGGGCGGGAAGGCGGGGCTGCGGCCCACTGGGGGTTCAGAGCCGCAGTCTCGCGGGGTTCCGCCGGTGGGGAACGCTGCGCAACATTGGCCAAGGTGGCGCCCTCTGGGTCAGTGTTTCCCAAGCGTAGGCTGCCAGCTGCTTTTGGACTCCAGTTCCCATCCTCTCTCACTGCTGGTATTGCTAGCTGGGGATGGTGGGAGTTGTAGTCCAGAAATAGCTGGAGCCCCAGGTTTGGGAAACACTCTTCTAGATGATGTTCCACTCCAACTCCCCTCTGCCCCAGCTGATGGCCATGCAGAGGGCACCACCTTGGGCAAAGGCTGCTTGAGCCAGTATGTGCAGCAGCTAGAGCGTTGGCCAGGGTCCTGACACAGCCATGAAGCCCCTTTGGGCCAGTCACTGTCTCGGCTTAATCTCCCTGGCAAGGTTGCTATGGGGATTCAATGAGGTCATGTGGGTGAAATCTGTGGGGTTGCAATGTGCAACTATGGAGAACAGGGAGTTGGAAAGGTACATAAGATATAGGGCTCTGCGTTCAGGAGGTGTGGAGGGTTGTATGAAAAGGAGTGTTTGCGTAAGTGGGAGGGGTGCTCAGGCTCCTGTGCTGGTATGTTAGGCATGAAGGTGTCCCAGAGGGGATGCTCAGGAGCTCCATTAGGGTCTTCAGCGTAGCATCCTAGAAGACAGTAGGGCCGTAATAGCGATGTTGAGTTGAAAACATTCCACATTTTCCAGCTCTTTATTTTTCTATGGAAATGCTTCCATTTTAAAAGTTTGTTACTAAGAATGAATGGATACCAAGTGCAATAATTCAATATTAGGCTACTTTGGAGTTTTAATTTTTTAATACATTTGCTAAATGCAAGTAAAAAAAATGTGCTAAATTAGATTACTCCAATGCATCACAATATCTTCTGATGGAAACAGAAAACTATTCAGTGCAAATTTCCCTAAGTTGTATGGGGGAGGGGGAATTCATTTATTTTATTAACCCACATCACTAAGTAATAGTCGAGTTAGCAGAAATCCTCCCTGTGCTCTGGGGCAATTGTAATAGGAATTCTTAGAAATAACACAGGCTCTAATGTGGGGGTAGAGCTCTTGGTTCTTAAAAAACAGCAACCCTGTGGATGTCTAGCTGTGAGCTATGCAGTTGTAATGAGGATTTTAAGAATTACAAGCAACATCCATGGACGGGCTTTTTATTCTGGAGAGCTGAGAGACTGCAGCTGGGGTTGCTTGCAGATTTACAACCTGTGTTGTGTAGGGGGTTGACTTACAGCATGGGTAGGGAAACTAAGGCCCAGGGGCCGGATGCGGCCCAATCGCCATGGACAGTCCAGGAATCAGCGTGGGGCCTGCCTGGTGTTTTTACACGAGTAGAATGTGTGCTTTTATTTAAAATGCAAGGGGTGAGAATACCGTGACATCTTCCCCAACTTTGAGGTGTTGTCTTTGTTGCCCTGAACCTCAGAGCCATTTGGAAAATGATGAGAAGTCTACTTGCTGAGTGCCTCTTAGGTGCAATGTGGCCCCTCCACTCCTCCCAAGCAGAGAAGCTCAGAGGCTGTCCCTAATGCTATCCTTGCTTTTTCTAGGGGAAGACTGGCAAGTGCAATTGTGGATCCCTGAATAGAAAAACAGGAATGTGGATGCTGGAGACCCTGGTGATTACTAAGGGAAAGCCTGGGAGAAATTCACAACAGAGCTTTGGGGTCACATAGTATATTATTATCTGGTACCACATTAATTTGTAATACTAGCATTTTATTATAAGCAGCTAAGAAAGGAAACATTCTTGTAAATTTAAATAAAGTCTGCAATCCCAGCTGTCAAACAACTGCACAAATAAAAGAAGTTTTATTCTGCTCTTGAAACGCATTGAGGTTTGGCTTCTGGCAAACCCTAAGCGAGAATCTGATCCATAAATGTGCAGCATTGTCAGAAATGCCCCTGTGCATTCCCTTGATATTTGACATTGGTGCATGGATGTCATTGTAGAGAGAGTGCTTGTTGGTCAGGCTCAAGCCTTCACAAGGTATGTGACCCTGTGGAGAAAGCCTAACTGGAACTGATCAGTACATGCAGAAAACATAACACCATTTCTGCAAATACTGTCGCTGTTACTTTCCATCCATGCAATTGCATCGTAATCACATCACGTTTCCTGCCATGGTCCCACACCTGAAATTCTCACTCCAATTCTCTCTTGGTTGTGACTGCAAGTGTGAACCATCTCTCAGTTTGCTGTAGTCTCCAAAGCTTAACACAGGATGAGCTAATTGGATGAAGGCTAGGAATGAAAGGAAGGTATCTTACTTGTAATGGGGCACCTGGAAGTGAAGGGACAAGACTGGCTCAAGCTTAATAGATGATTGATAAAGTGAGCACTCTGAAATTTGAGGAGGTGGGGGCTGAAGTAGAGGGACATGAGAGGGTGTGTGAATGGAGACTGGCCAAGGGTTGCGGGGGATGGTGGTGTGTGTGTTTTGTTTTGAAGATCTATTCTGCAAGATGTCATTGACACAGTAATGGGGCATTAGTGGTGGGAGTATACTGGACCAGCCACACATCATTCCCCCTCCTTGGTTATTCTGGGATGCCTCCTCAGCATTATTGCCGCCTGGAGGGGCCCCTCATTGCAGCATAAAGAGATACAGGGTTCCAGCAGGAAGTTAAACATGGAAACAAAGCTGTAGGTCTGTCCTTAAACGTCTGAAGGCACAAACAGTATTAAAACTGAGATTGCATATAACCACCCCAACACCCTCATGAGCTGCTGCTGCTGCTTCTTTGGCGATCACTCGTAGCCGAGTGAGATTGTCTTCCATAAACACTGTTTTAACAGTGAACCATCTTGAGCAGCTGGGTGGGAGCTGCTGTGGCTGCTGGGCAATAAGGACTGGGTGGGGTGAAATTACTTTGGTCCTGAGATTTATTTGTTCTCATTACTCCTTTTATATCCCATCTTTTTATCCTCACAGCCACCCTGTGAGGTAGGTTAGGCAGAGAGACAGTGAGCTTCATGCTTGAGCTGGGATCTGAATCCTGGTCTCCCAGGTGCTGGTACAACACTTGTGAGCTGGCCTTCCTCAATAACACTCAATGAAGTAATATATATTTTGTCACTGTTGATTTTTTAAAGATCTGAAGTAGCACAGTCCAACTTCCTCTGGACTTGGCAAGGCATCTCCAGCGTTGTGCTTCCCCGTTGGACCAGCCATGATTCACAGCCTCTTCCTGATCAACTCTTCCGGGGACATCTTCCTTGAGAAACACTGGAAAAGTGTGGTTAGCCGCTCGGTTTGTGACTACTTCTTTGAGGCACAGGAAAGAGCCTCAGAGGCAGAAAATGTGCCCCCCGTGATCCCCACCCCTCACCACTATCTCTTGAGTGTCTATCGGCACAAGATCTTCTTTGTGGCAGTGATCCAGACAGAGGTACCCCCGCTTTTTGTCATTGAATTTCTTCATCGGGTTGTGGATACTTTTCAGGTACGTAAAATGGCAACGAGGACTAGAATCTAGTGTAGGATTCTGTGTTTTGTCACAGGGCACCTCATGATCAGGAACATACGAAGCTGCCTTATACAGAGCCAGACCACTGCTCCATCTAGTTTTCCATGGTCTACGGGGCGGGCGGGGGGGGCTCAAAACCCTCCAGATGGTGGACTATTTGTTTGTTTGTTTGTTTGTTTGATAGGTTGTTGTTGGACTGTTGTTAAGCTTTCAGACCGCTTTTCAGGAGATGTTTGCAGCTCATGCAATCTCTTGCCATTGGGCATGGTGACTGGGGAGGATGGAAGTTTGAGTCCATCGACACCTGGAGGGCCACAGGTTGCCTGCCACCAGTCCCACTGACTGGCAGCAGCTCTAAAGGGCTTCTGGAAGGAGTCTTTTGCCACCCCACCTGGAGATGCGTTCAGAGCAGGTGCTCCACCGCTGAAGAACCACCTTTCTTTCGGGCTCTTGGCCATGCAGACTCCTAGACCCCCATTTAAAAGGCCACCTCAGAGATGCTCCAGTTCTCTTTCCTAATTTTTTACCCTTCCTTACAGAAAAATGGCTTTTGCCTCCTTTCTAACTTTGGGCATGCTCAGACTGATTTTCTAACTACCTGTCAGCACATGAGAACCAGTGATGGAATCTGAGTTGTAATCTGATGAGCTGAGCATCAGGGATGCTTCTCTGCACTCCTTCATTATTTATGTGCCTCATTTTCTCCTCCTCCAGTTACCACTGTAGCTTCCTGGTGACTGTAAGAAAAGGGCCGGGGAAGACGGAGAAGGAGAGCCCACCCTCCCAAATTTGGGAAACTCCAGACCAACTTGGGTCACAATCCAGGGTGATGTTCTGAAATGAACAGGGCCAGATGCTTCCTAACTTCTAATAATTTTATACTTCAATTCTTCCAAATAACTTGGGGTGGCAAGCATGGATCTCTCCCCCCCCCCGCCCTGTCCCTGCCCCCCACCACACAAAATATTCCCACTTTATCCTCACAAGACCCTGTAGGAGTAAGGTCAGTAAATAGTCACTGGCCCCAAGGTGCCTTGTGAGCCTCATGGCTGGGTGACATTGAAACGCCTGTCTCCTTGGCCCTATTCTAGCATTCTCACCACAATGACAGAGCGCTCTGGTTCACTTCCAGGTGGACCAGCATTGTTCCCCAATTATTGTACTTCACTGTGTGTTTTTTTAATACTGAAATGCTATTCTTCATTTATACATTTTATAAATCTCAAAGTGGTTCACAGTATACATAAAATCAATAAATAGCACCAGTTAAAACATCGACAAGCCATATACAGTACTTTTCAACAGCAGCAGCAACCAAGAGAGCAAAATTCTGTCCAAATTCCAGTTGCTGGAACCACAGTGGGTGAGACTGCTCTTGTGCTCGAGTGCTGCTTTTGGGTTTCCCACAGACTTCTGGTTGGCCACAGGTTTTTGGACTAGATGGGCCATTGGCCTGATCCAGCAGGTTCTTAAAATGTTCTTAAAGGAGTTCTATACCAATAGTCAAGGAATCCCAGAAAGGTCTTCAGTTGTCTGCAAAAGGCCTCCATTGTCTATGCTCACCTGGTCTCCATAGGGAGCTCGTTCCACAAAATGGGCTCCCCAATGGAAAAGGCCCTCCTTTGAACCCATGGACTTTGGTATGGGTAGCAGTGCCCTCCCCCCCATAGATTGCAGTCACCTGCATGGACTGTGGATGGAAAAGGCTGACCTAACCTGGTCCCAAGCAGTACCATTCGTTCCTTGTGATCTCAGGTATCCCATGTGTGAGAGGTGAGTGCTGCCAAAGCCGGCATAGATAAAACTCCAGCCTCGCTGCCAGTTGCTGTCTTTTAGGTTTATTTACAAAGTTCAAAAGAAAGTTTCCAGAGCTTCAAAGCATGTCTGACCCTGTCGGCTAAGATGCCCCATATGGTTTTTTTTTTTACTTTTTCTTCCCCAGCAGGATAGTTGGCGGAAACCCCTCCTCTGATTTCCTCTGTTCAAAGAATAACTAGTTCCGGGCTCAGCCTCCCCCCTCCCTCCCTCTTCTTCGCTGTCGGACAACAGGCTACTAATTATCTCTTTAGGCTCTCTATAAGTGCTGGTCTCTCCCCTTAGCTTTTTTGCCGTTTGCATCTCCCTGACACCATGGGCCAGGACTCTCCATATCTCACTGTGCTGCTCCCAGTGATACCTCAAAACTCCTGCTTGAAGTGGCTTCCTCACCTTGCTACACAGGAAAACCACCTCTGGCTTTTCTTTTCATGGGGAATAAGCGGAGCTCTCCCTCTTTGGCCTGTTTCAGCAGACACCCTGAGGAGGCTTGTTAACCTTGTTTCCACACACAGGATTATTTTGGAGTCTGCTCCGAGATTGTCATCAAGGACAATGTCGTGGTGGTCTATGAGGTGCTGGAGGAGATGCTGGACAATGGATTCCCATTGGCTACTGAGTCCAACATTCTGAAGGAGCTGATCAAGCCCCCGACCATCCTACGGACAGTTGTCAACACCATTACAGGTCTGTGATTTTGTGTATGTGTGTGTGTGGTCTCCAAATAACCTACTTATTGAGCGTTCACTCTGATTTGATCGCAGGGAGATTGGATGGCGTTAACTGATGAGCACGCATTCTCATTTGTTGGTGGGGTGGTTAAATGATGATGCAGTGCAGCGAGAGTTATCTCACACTTTTCACTGGATTTTCCCATCCCCGGTAGTGGGCGAGGGCTGAGCCTTAACAGGTGAACTAGTAAAAAGGTTTCACAGCTGCATTTTGCAACTGGCAGTTTGTCCCCACTGAGACAAGTAGGATTTGCTTGCAAGTAAGTTTTATGCAGGGTTGCATCAATGAGAGATGCATTTGATGAGAGATGCATCAGACTCTGGTGGTGTTCATAACTTCCTGAAGAATCTTCACTGCATGTGCTAGATGGATCCCATGACTTACTGTTTTCACTGGGGAAGCGCAGGTGGCATTGTGGACCTCCTCTTGACAAAGAGCACAGCCAGGTTTATCCTCCTGAACAGCTGGAATGAATGGAAGGGGCAGCTCTTTCAGCTCAGTTCAGATGATGTCAAGAAGACTGTCATGAACAAGTTTGACAACTGAATGGTTCTGAGACACTATTCTGCATGTAGACAACCTGACAACTGACTCATATTCAGTTCAACAGCTGTTCTCCATACAGTGGTGCCCCGCAAGACGAACGCCTCGCAAGACGGAAAACCCGCTAGACGAAAGGGTTTTCCGTTTTGGAGGCGCTTCGCAAAACGAATTTCCCTATGGGCTTGCTTCGCAAGACGACAGCCCATAGGGAAATCTCCGGGACAGCGGGGAAGCGCAGCGCGTCTTCTCCACTGTCCTCGGACCTCCTCCGAAGCCTGGCGGCGGGGCGGGGACACCTCCTCCCGCTGCCGCCGGGCTTTGGAAGGCTCCTCCGAAGCCGGGCGGCGGGGCGGGAACACCTCCCCCCGCCGCCCGGCTTCGGAACGATGCTCCGAAGCCGGGCGGTGGGGAGGGAACACCTTCTGAAGGCCGGCGGGGGGCAAAAGTCTTTGTTTCCCCCTGCCTCCCTTCTCGGGAGAGCGGAGAAACGCAGCGCGTTTCTCCACTGTCCCGGAAGGCTTTTGAAGGCAGGCGTGGGGGAGCAAAGACTTTGGCCCCCCGCCCGCCTTCAGAAGAGGTCCTGGACCTCTTCTGAAGGCTGGCGGGGGGCAGAAGTCTTTGTCCCCCCTGCCTGCCTTCCCAGGGGCTTTTAAATCGCCCCGGACAGCGGAGAAGTCCTCCGCTGTCCTGGGGCAATTTTAAAATGCCGCCCGCCAGCATTTTAAGATCGCCCCGGACAGCGGAGAAGTCCTCCGCTGTCCCGGGGTTTTTTAAAATGCTGGGGGTGGGAAGAAAAGCCCTTGTCCCCCCCCCAGCCTTCAGAAGAGGTCCGGGGACAGACTGTCCCCGGACCTGGTCTGAAGGCGGTTTCCATAGGAACGCATTAATTGATTTTCAATGCATTCCTATGGGAAACCGTGCATCGCAAGACGAAAAACTCGCAAGACGAAGAGACTTGCGGAACGAATTAATTTCGTCTTGCGAGGCACCATTGTATTTAGCTTTGACCGCTTTCTACTTCTAATTTTTATCAATAAGCTTTCTCACACTGCAATACAGGCCAGTGAGCTGATTGTCTGCACTGAAGGCAGGGAACCTACGGCTCTCTAGATAACATTGGGCTCCAACTCTTATCAGCCTCAGCTCACATGGCCTGTGGTCAGGAATGAGGAGATTTGGAGCCTTAACAACATCTAGAGGGCTTCCCATTCCTGGTTTGCATGCAGATTCTATGCCCCCACAGCTCCTACCTTCAGATAGTCTCATTGGTCATCAGTGGCTGTGTTTGGATGATCAAATCTTGGCTTAATATGCCAAGTTATGAGCCAGCGTTGTTCCTCCACATGCAGCTGCTTTGCTGCTCCCTTCATAGAATGGGGAAATGAGCCAGGAAGCCACAGTTTAAAAATAGCTTCTCATTATGTACCAACCAGGAAGCTATGATTAATGGCTTCTCAGCAAGCCAGAATATGGAGAGACAGCCTAAAGTTGGTTGGCTTGGAAGCAGTTAACCATAGTTTGTTGGTTTGAATGTAAGTGGAAGCTATGGTTAACTGTTGCACGTACCCATTCTCTCCAACTGTAGCTTTGGGGACCTAAACAAAGCTTTCCTGAAAAAGCAACTTCTCCCATTCATCCTAGATCTCTGTGAGGATGAAGGTACCCAAGAGGTTATGCCTCAGTTTGAGAATAATGTTCTCAGGGCTAATGGTGATGGGATCTGTCTTGCCAATGTGGAGAAGATTTTTATTTTTATTTAATTTTATTTATAATTTGTTCTGAACCACAAATGAACCGTCAGAATCCCAGCAGGGATCCTGCCCTCCCATGTTCCCACACTGTAAGATTTATACCCAGTTTCAGTGTGCATAAGACAATGCATACGACTTCTCCTACTGTACCAGAAGTTGTCCCTGGAGGGCGAATGCCTGACCGACCTGCAAGAACATATGCAAAGAAGATTTATCAAGAAGACACAAATACCCCCAAGTTTGGTGCATTCCTTGCCATAAAAATGTGAGCAAATTTATGTGTGAGTAGCTCTCATTAACCTCAGTGAGACTTAGCTGCTCCCTTTGGGCTGTGGGATATTTTGCTGCAAGAGTTGCAAACTTCCATATGCATACAGCTTCTGCCCTATGAATCTGGTATGCAGAAGAAAAATATTTTGGCTCTTTCTGGTGGGAACTCCTTGCACGAAATGCAATATGAAAATACTGCTGTTTCTGAGAGAGAGAGCAGTGTTTTGTTGTGGTACAAGAGTATGAGAAATTAGGAAATGGGTTTGGCTGTCCACTTGTCTACTGCCATCTCTTTTAACCTTTTCAGGAAGCACCAATGTGGGAGAGCAGCTCCCCACAGGACAGCTGTCTGTTGTTCCTTGGCGAAGAACCGGTGTGAAGTACACCAACAATGAGGCCTATTTTGATGTGATTGAGGAGATAGATGCCATCATTGACAAATCAGGTACATAGATCTGTATTCACATGGCATCGCCTCTAGGCAGCAGTGTCCTTGCCTCAATGAACAGAAGCAGCAGCATTTGGGGCCAAAGGAAGACACATTTCAATGCATTTCCCTCCTCTTGTTCATTTCATTTCCCTCGTCAGTGATGGTGTTTGCATGCTACTTTTCCAATGTAACTTACAAAGTGATCTACCATTTTGAGAAGTCTCGACTACTGTTAACCATAATCAGTGTACAAAGTGATTTCCTCGGGTTTCCTGGCCTCCTTTGTGACCCACTTGGGTTTTGTTTCCCATGGCAGGTTCCACGATTACGGCTGAAATCCAAGGGGTGATTGATGCTTGTGTGAAATTAACTGGGATGCCAGACCTTACCCTCTCCTTTATGGTAAAGTGTGAGAGGAAGGATCTCTTCCTTGCTTTTTCCATGCTCTGAATAGACCTCCTGGAATTAAGGACCACCACAATCTTATGGTACCCTCCGTATGTCCTTTCTGTTGTGCCTTCATGATTATTTGCACCCATGATGTTGATGGGGCAGTTAAAGGCAACCCCACTTGCTGTACTGCTTGTGCCTGCAAAACTTTTGGGGCAGACATCCTGCTTCATTTCCAATCCATGCATGTCTTGTAACTTTCTGCTGAAATCTTGAATTTTTTTTATACTGTAAATATTCTGTTTGTTTTTTGTCCTTCTTTTATTGCGCTATAGTGCAATAATGGCCCTCCAGGCAGCGGTGATGTGGTCACGTTGGGCAAACATTGCAGAACAAATGAAGTGGAATGGTGTGGGTGGGTGGTCCATTAATCTCAATGGTTCCAGTTTAATTGGATACAACTCTGTGCTGCTCTTCCGTATAAAAATGTCAGGGTGGCATATGTAATATAGTAGTTATAGTAGTTACAGCTAGGTAGCCGTGTTGGTCTGCCATAGTCAAACAAAAAAAATTCCTTCCAGTAGCACCTTAAAGACCAACTAAGTTAGTTCTTGGTATGAGCTTTCTGTGTATCTGAAGAAGTGTGCATGCACACGAAAGCTCATACCAAGAACTAACTTAGTTGGTCTTTAAGGTGCTACTGGTTGTAATATAGTAGAACAGTCGGTGTATAAAAACATTCACATGCCAAATTGTAAAAAACCAGGAGGAGCCAAGCAGGAAAATTGCTGCCTACAGCGATGCTTAGGCAATTTTTAAAATTATTTGCCTAGCAACAGTGCAGCATCAAAGTCAGCACCAGGCAAGCACCCCTAGGGAAGGCATTCCATATCTGGCTATATGGAGCCTCACAACAGAGAAAGGCCTTTTTCCTGCTCTCTCTGTGCCTCGCTTCAGATGTCAGGGAAGCCTGGAAGATGGCCATGAAGCCCAAGGGGGCTTGTGTGGTCCTTCATCACTTGATGACTGTTGAGGTCCAGGCATTCAAGTGGGGCTTGTCCTGCAGACCCGCCAAGGTTCCCTGGGGGAAGATGCCAGAGGAACTGGCTGGTGTGGGTGGAAGGCACTGCAGAATGTTGTGGTGGGAAGGAGGGTTTAAACTAGGGATGGGGGGGGCACTTTTTCAGCTGAAGGGCCATATTTCCTTCTGGGCAACCCCTTGGGGGCCACATGACAGTGTTGCATGGAGACAGAGGCAAAAGCAAGCAGAGCAACAAACCTTTGTCTAGTAGGCTAGTTTCTACACATGCTCATCTCTCCTCCATCCAGACAAGCAAGAGTCACTACCAAAGTCCAAGGGCACCTATCCAAGCGAAAGCACCCAAGGAGGGTCCAGTGCCTGGCCGGGGAGGGTGTGTGACCTGGGGAGAGTCCCAACGACCCAGCCCTCAGTTAGACCTCTGAAATGGGTATTGGGAATACATCAGGAACTGTGGGGAAGAGACAGGCAGCAGAAAAGACAACCCACTGATTTCAGGAGAGAGAACAGTCTGGTTAGAAATCTCTGCTGTCTTTATCTTGCTTGCATTAGAATCCCAGGTTGCTGGACGACGTCAGCTTCCACCCTTGTGTGCGTTTCAAGCGTTGGGAATCAGAACGAATCCTCTCCTTCATTCCTCCAGATGGGAACTTCCGTCTGCTGTCATATCATGTCAGCGCTCAGAAGTAAGGAGCGGGGTTGGGAGCAATCATTGGCTCCCAGGGTCCAGGAGCTTTCCCTAAACACTTGGTTTGAAAAGGAATCCCTCGTGGTGACATTCTGCTTCTCCCCCACCCAGGGGAACTGCCACCCTCTTATTGGCTCCATTCCCTTTTTGATTTTATTTTTATTTCTCTTCTCTTCATTGCCCACCCTTCATCATCAAGTCCCAGGGCGGGTTACAACAACTTAAAATTCTGAATTAAAAACAGAACATACTACATTCACAAGAATACAGTATGTCCTGAAAACACACATCTCAGGCGTCTAAGGGTAAAGAGGTATGTCTCCAGCATTTGCTGAAAGCTACGTAGCAAAGAAGCCAGTCTGTAAGGAAGGAGGCAAGGTTTTAAATATATATTTAAAACCTTGCCTCCTTCCTTACAGACTGGCTTCTTTGCTACGTAGCTTTCAGCAAATGCTGGAGACATACCTCTTTACCCTTAGACGCCTGAGATGTGTGTTTTCAGGACATACTGTATTCTTGTGAATGTAGTATGTTCTGTTTTTAATTCAGAATTTTAAGTTGTTGTAACCCGCCCTGGGACTTGATGATGAAGGGTGGGCAATGAAGAGAAGAGAAATAAAAATAAAATCAAAAAGGGAATATATATATACTTGAGGTCTGAGTCATTTAGGGTTTTAAACATGAACATGAGCACCTTTAATTGGGCCCAGAAACAGATCAGCAACTGTGGGGCATGAAGTCAACCTTGGCTTGGAAGGTGCCACATGGAACCTGCAACGAAATGTTACAGCATGGTGTATTACTGTTCAGGATACTCTGCTTTGTTCCTCATCCCCAGCAGTCAGTCCGTATTCAGTGGTCACTGCAGACACTCAGTCCTGGAGGTTTATGTTTTTGCTCCATAAGCAGTGACATCCCTGAATGCTGGAAATAGAGGGAGTGATGAAACGGGATATTGCAGACCCTTTGCTAAAACTGAGCACAGAAAGAGCAGAATTAAGACAAAGGAGCAGCTCCTTTGTCCTGGATCAGCGGGAAGACTAGGTGCTAGGGGTGTGCACAGATGGACCCCACCTCCCTCCCAGTGACCTTCAGAAGGGCCATTTGCCATTGTCAGACTGGCTCTTGAAAAAGCAAGATGACAAAGCTAATCTGCTCTATAGTAGAGCTGAAACAAAACCTTACACAAACTAAAAATGTTGCCATTGCCATTCAGTGTTGAGAGTTGCTTTTGGGATGTAACAGTACTCATGGATTTTAAGGTGATGATGCTTAGGGACTGACTGACTGACTAAAATCTATAAATCTGATAGTAGTTGTCATTGGGAATGCTGACAATGTAAATTCATAGTTTTGCAAGCCAAATTTAAAAAGGAAAAAAGCACTTGGGAGCCACCATCCCTCCCCCAAATTTGTTTCAGATCTACAATGCATCTTTGGCTCTACAAAAATCCTTGTCCTCCACAAGGCATTCCCAAATGATGCACCTGGAACACATTGTGCAGAGGAAGCTTACAGGCAACTCGGCTTGCACAGGGGTTGTGTTCCAGGTCATTGCGTGCTTGTGAGAAATTGTGTGTAATCAGAGCACCCATTGAAAAAGCCTGCAAACACCTCATTCAGCCCCTGCCCCTTTTTGTGACTTTTTGGGTAACATCAAAGTTTAGCACAGTGCACGCATGTGCGGTCGAGCACATAACAGTCACTGCCTGTACTGTATATATTTTTGGCAAAGATTAGAAGTCACAGAATATAGAGAACCAAAAATAAATAGCCTTGGGTGCAGAGGCCAGAGAGAACTGACCACAGGTGTGGGGGTAAATACAAGGAGCTGCCCGAGGATATTGAAATCCCACTCCTCAGACCACTAGAGTGCTGCTCAACAGTCCCTTCTGGCTTCTTGCATATTACTGCCAATGCATTTGGAATTACCATGGAAAACCTGGGGAAGATATTCTTTCAGGTTTTCCTCTGCAGTCATAAGAACTAGAAACCTTTAAAATATAATAGATATCATTGTGCAAGGAAGACATCAGAGACTACTTCAGAAGGACTCTCCCTTCCCTGCCCTGCTCCCCACAGACACCAGCCAGCCCCAGCTATCCTCTGGGAAGGACCATCGCATGTGACTGCTGAACATTAGCCTGCTACACAGGACCGGGCAGGTTAGGGCAGCTTTCTCCAACCTGGTGCCCTGCTCCAGATGCTTTTAATTGCAATTCCCATCATCGTTGGCCAGCACAGTGGGAGGGAGGGGGCGGTTTGGACCACAGTGCTGAAACGTGACTCCCCTACTAGCTAGGCTTGATGAGAGTTGTTTTCCAAAACATACGGAGCAGGACACCAGGTTGGGGATAGCTGGTTTTTACTGCTGCTGCTGCTGCTGCAATGGTGTCTCCTCTCTTCCAGCTTGGTGTCCATCCCTGTTTATGTGAAGCACAACATCAGTTTCCGGGACAGCAACTCCTTGGGCCGCTTTGAGATCACCGTGGGTCCCAAGCAGACAATGGGGAAGAGCGTGGAGGGGGTGATGGTCACCAGCCAGATGCCCAAAGGAGTCTTAAACATGACCCTCACGCCTTCGCAGGGGACGCACACATTTGATCCTGTCACAAAGGTGAGAAGGGAGGTGCGAATGGGGCAGCAAAGTCTGGTTCTTGAACAATTTCTCTCATCTTCCAGGAAGAGAGGAGATGAGCACCCCTTGACCCATTTAGATGCTTTTCAATGTCTTTTCAAAGTAGGGCAATTAGAGTGGCACAATTTCTGCATGCGGTTCTCCAGCCAAATAATGTGTACAGAAATATATACTAAACTGTGCATAGAAACACGTGTATTAGTGAAAACAACATACAATAATGCATTATATTACAGGAAATTGCTTGTGAAATTGTGTATATTACTAAAAATAGTATACCAAAATGTGTTCACTAGGAGAAATTAGCACTAAGATGCTGGTGAATTTTCAGGAGGATTAAAAAATAATAATCCACAAGTTGCTGCAGAAATTTGGAGTACAGATATTACGACTGAAAAAATGAGAACCTGAGATCCATTCCTACTTGCCACACAATGTTCTTTCTTTCTTTGGCGATCACTTTGTAGCAGAGTAAGATGGTCTTCCACAGAGTTTTAGCAATGAGTCCGTAAATGACTGTGGAGGCCAATTCTGGATCTATACATCCTTCCAGAGTGGGGACATTGGTTTCCGGTTGGGAGTTGATCATGGTGTGGATTTGCCAAGCGGGCCTTCTTCTTAGCACGTTTCTCCCTTGCGTCCTGAGTTCGAGTGTCTTCAAAGCCAAGACACTCGAAGACAGGCCACACAATGTGCATATGCACTGATATATTGAAACCAAGTTAAAAACAATTTGCAGTCGCCAAGGCAGTCAAGTGAGTAGAGTGGAACTGGAGATGGCAGCAATAGGAATGACCAGTTTGCTTTAAGAGAGGAAAGGTCTTGGTCAGCCCACTAGAGGTGTCCAGTGAGCAAACAATGAATTCCCCAGGGAGGGCACCACTGCTTAGAAGCCCCTGTTCTTACTGTTTCCTCCCTTTGCCCTCCCCACCCTCTGATTCCAAAGGCAGCAGCACCCTGGGAAGGGTGTCTTGGATGATTAACTAAAGCTTCCTATCCACACTTACATCCTCTGAATAGAGCAAGAACTTGCTTCTGAATAAGCACACAAGAGGGGTGAGATGTAAACTCAAATTAATTCACAGTGCATTAGCTGCAGATTGGTCTGTATGTCTGAGGTCAAGGCAGAGGCATATTCTGATACCCTTCCTTCCTGTGTGTCAGCACTGCAAGTCCTACACTTTCCAGGCCCCAAACCTTATTTTATTTTATTTATTCATTTATTACCTTTATATCACAACTTCCCTCCAAGGAACTCAAGGTGATACACTTCTTTTTCTCCTCCCCGTTTTATCTTCACAACAACCCTGTGAGGGAGGTTAGGCTGAGAGTGAGCGACTGACTCCCAGGTCACCCAGCGAGCTTCATGACTCAGTGGGGATTTGAACCCTGGTCCCTCCCAGGTCCTAGTCCAGCCCTCCAGCCACGACATCACTCTGGCTTTCAACCTTCCTCTGTCTTACTGACTCCAAGCTCTGTGGTTGCCTGTCTTCTGTTTCTCTTGTGAAGCTGCTGTCTTGGGATGTGGGGAAGATCAACCCCCAAAAGCTGCCCAATCTGAAGGGGACCATGAGCCTCCAGGCAGGAGCCTCCAAGCCGGACGAGAACCCCACCATCAACCTGCAGTTCAAAATCCAGCAGCTGGCCATTTCCGGTATGTGGGCAGAGAGTTCAGCGACACTCCGCTTTTTTAAACTTACGCACTTCCTTTTGAAACATTTCTCTCTCAGTTGACCCAATTGGGATAAAGCAAAGCAGACGACAGCAGAGGATGGTGGGCCTGCAAGGCAATTTAACAGCCTGTTGCTGACGCAAAAGCCACCCTTATTCCATCTTAATGGTTGCTTGAAAAGCTCCCACTCTGTTGGGCAAATAGGTGGGGGGATTGGTGTTTTAATGAATGCCCAGTTTCTTAAAAGAGACACCTGACCAAAGCAGGTAGGTCTTCCTAGGCCAAACGTTCTCTATCCTGGACGCCATCCTTGAGAATCCCCTTTCTTCTGTCATGCCCTATCAGTCTGGTGCCTGGAGGAGCTCACACATCCAGGCCGGTCAGCTGGCTCAGCGGCACGGAGCGTGCCCAGTGAGTGACTTGCTACGAGAAGGTTGGGAGTGAACGGAGGCCTCTTCAGCCTCTGCCTTCCGTCCTGCCTCTTCTGCCTCCACGTCCTTTGGGGAAGCAGTGTCCTTAAAGGGGCAGCCTCTGGCCTGAAGATGGCCACTTCTCCTAGGCGCTGTGGCCTCCTGCCTCCTGTGGTCCCTGGTCAGGTCATTTGGGAGGGGCAGGCACTTGGTTCCTCGAGCTCAGGTGAAGCATCTTGGCTCTGGTTCTCTGACCCCTGGTGTTGTGGGAGCTGGGCTCAGAGATTCCCTTACTACCTGTGTCAAGCTTGGAGCCAGGAACCTGATCTGGCTCCTTAACCGAAGGCTGTAGCCTCTGACTTGGTATCCTGGTCGTTGCTGGACTCTGTTCTGGGGCACTTAGCCACTCACCTAACATTTATTAAACTTCTTAATGACATTATCTTGCCCAAGGCAACCCAAAGTGACTTAACAACCCACTCACCCACCCCACAGAGATACACTAAAACCAGGCGAGGGGATACATTAAAAACATCCCACCCCCTTCTAAAAGGCCACAGATAGTTAATGGCCGAAGTCCTGGTTACAGAGGATTTTTTTTATTTTTTTTGGCCTGGTGCCTAAAGACGGGGATGTACAAAGCAGCAATCTTACTGCTACAGGGGGACATGTGAAAGAAACTATATGGCTCAGTGGACTGCAGCAGACGATTAGTCCCCTCCTTTGCTCCTTCCCATCTCTAGCATAACAGGTTTCATGAAGATTAAGCAGTTCTGTGCATATGTGCTTAACAGTCTCAACATCCTAAGGGGCTAAGAGGAGCCCACTGGATCAGGCCAGAGGCCCATCTAGTCCCACACTCTGATCTCACGGTGGCCAACCAGATGCCCTGCGAAGTGCGCAAGCCGGCCCTGAGTGCAAGAGCACTCTCCCCACCTGTGGTTCCCAGAAATGGGCACTCGGGTCTTCTGCCTCCGTCAGTGGAGGCAGAACAGAGCCGCCATGTCTGGTCTTCCCCAGTTGCTCTCCCCCAACCTCTCTCCTTACCTTTTCCGCCCTCCTAGGTTTGAAAGTGAATCGCCTGGACATGTACGGAGAGAAATACAAGCCTTTCAAAGGGATCAAATACATGACCAAAGCTGGGAAGTTCCAAGTGAGAACCTAACGGTGGCCGTGCCCGCAAAAAGGCTTGCGTGTGCCCTGACTTTCAGTCCGACTGTGTCCCACCTCCCAGAGCTGCTCCTTGCTATGGCCCACCTGGAGTAGGTCAAGGCAGGTATCTCTTCCCACCCCCCACCCCTGCCAGCTGGGCAAACCTAGCACTTACACCTGGATCTTAAATTGTGAAGCTCTTGGGTGGGATTGAAGAGCAAACGGGAAACTGTGAACCATCTTCCCGGCTTACCAGCGAATGTTTCAGCTCATGAAAACCCTGCCCCCGTCTCCCTATTTTTTGGCTGGCGTTTGCTTAGTTATTTGTTGTCTGGCGTTCCAGTAGCATCTGAAGACAGGAGGAGACGTCTTTAGAGATTGAGGGGTTTAATCCTGAAGATGCTCCTCCTCTTTTGCATCTGGTACTCTTCTTGTTTGTTTCAAAGACTGCCTAGGAAAGAACTCCCCACCCGGTAAATCCTTGACAAAGAGCTGGCTGAAGAGGACTGGACAGGGGAACAGGATGCTCTCCTCATTTCCTCCTGTCCCGTTTTAAATGTATTGCTTGGGGAAGAGGTTGGAAAGAGCTAATAGTCTTGCGGGGCCTGAAGGCCACGTGGAAGAGGCACCTGAGCTCCTTGCAGATCTGCCAAGGGCCAGTCCAACACTCATCTGTCTCGAATGGCTTTTTGCAGATTTCTTGGTCATGCTTTGAAAACCACAAAGCCTGTTCATCCAGAGATAGCAGTGGGACACAAAATGCAACTGTGTTCAGGAGGAGGAGGAGGAGGAGGAGTTTGGATTTGATATCCCGCCTTTCACTCCCCTTCAGGAGTCTCAAAGCGGCACACATTCTCCTTTCCCTTCCTCCCCCACAACAAACACTCTGTGAGGTGAGTGGGGCTGAGAGACTTCAAGGAAGCGTGACTGGCCCAAGGTCACCCAGCAGCTGCAGGTGGAGGAGCGGAGACGCGAACCCGGTTCCCCAGATTACGAGACTACTGCTCTTAACCACTACACCACACTGGCTCTCCAGCAGGACTGCTGCTGCTGCTGCTGTACCATCTTTCGCTGTCCAAAAAATCCCCGTTATTTTCTTTGCTGAAGGGTTGTGGTGGGAGGGGAGGCTGTGTCCCCTGTGTCCCCTGTGTCCTTCGTCTTGCTAAGGCAGCCCCTTCACCAACCTGGTTGACCTCCAGGCACTTTGGACCACCCTGGGGCTGATGAGAGTTGCAGTCCCAAACATCTGGAGGGCACCAAGACAGTGAAGGCTGGATTCAGGGAGTGGAGTGGTGGCAGGAGCCTGGGGCTTTGCGGGGGCTGCTTTGTGGCTCCTCTTCCTGCATGCAGTGGTGTGTTGCTCTCCTGGCTGTCCTCTCTCTTAAGCATATCGCTCCTATGCAAGTAGATTATTAGATTATAGTTGTGTGCATACCGGTCAGAGCTTACATCAATTTGCACGTTTGTTTGTTTTATAAAACGCAGCAAAGCCAGGTTGTTTCCTTTTTGACACAGCAAACCATCTTCCGAATGTCCCCATTGTTGAGAACTCTAAAAGCACAGCATACAGCTGTGAGCCACATGGGGAGAATCCACGAGGCTGGTTAGTTACTGTGCCAAAACAATCCTTGCACGCTGGACTTCACGATTCAAGTGCCCATTTTTTTTTAAAAAAATAATTATTAAAATGGCAGTGTACCTTGGATCGCTTTTTCAGGACTCTGGTGGGTCAGAATCTCAGAAGACCCTTTCGCCCGTCAGATCCCTGCCACTCTCTGAGTGCAAAGAAGACAGAATTAGGTGCATCCCCTTGTAGCAGTGGAGGTTTTCTCTTAAAGGAACTTCCTCCACCCTCAATGATGACCTTCCTACAGTAAGACCCCATATGTAATCACCAGCCCATTGAATTGCAGCCACTAGCAGATTGTAAGGTGGTGCCATTTTTAGCAGAGTGTTGTAATGTGGTAATCTGTCTGCATGATTCTGCACCAGCTGTCATTTCCAAACACTTTTGAATGATAATGTGTAGATCTGATCCAAATGTGACTTAAAGTCCCTGGCCGGATCTGCTTTCTCCAGGGAGGGCTGCAGCTGACACACCTGCTGAAACTGGGCCAAAGCACTCCTTGCCACCTGAAGATGTGGAAGCAGCTCCAGATCTGAGAGCACCTACAAAACTTGAATTGGGTCCTTCAGAGGGAGCACAAGCCCACCAGGGACAGGTCTGCCCTTCTGTTCTTGCCCCAGCATTTCCACAGACCATTGCCTGGCTTAAGCCTTAGCTCCCCATGCAAAGGGGAGTCCACATCCAGACAGGCTGCAGGGCCAGCCCTCTGTCCTCAGCCCCAAGATGGTGCATCACTCCTGAAGTTTCTCCTACACATTAAGAGTGGACATCTGCAAAGAAAAGTCTACATGTATAGACTTCCAAACACATTAGACTTTCCGTGTGTTCTGGAATCCTGCCTAGATGTGAACATGGGGAGGCTTTCCTTTGCAAATGCCTAATTTGTGGGTGTTGTGGAGCAGGCCAATGTTGGGGTGTGGCTTTGGCAGTGTGTGTGTGCAACCTTGAGTGCAGCCCTTTTCTACCTACAATTTCCACCCCCCACATCTACAATCCTTGTGTGAAAGGAACTCTGGTCTCTGATATTTCCATATAAAAGTGCATAATAGTAGTGAACTATTTAAAAACAACAAAATCTCAATAAAACCAGATGAACTCTGGCATAAAGACAGATCTACAGCAAGGGTGGGCAGGCTTCAGGCTTGTGTGATCTGCTTTGTTGTGTGTTTTATTTATACTGTAGCCTCAAGATCTGTCAACTGGAGCCAAGTATGAAAGACATACACTTAGATGTAAAAGAATTATGAGCCCAGGACTTCGTTTTGAGTCTTGGAACCATGGATGAAGCGGTCAGGGATTACGTGAGGTAGACGGTCTGTTCCTATTTCAGCACTTGGTGCAGGCAAGAAATCAGAGTTGGTGTCAAGAGAGCATTCCATGAAGACGACGGAACAGAGCCTTCCCTCTTGCTTCAAAGGACATGTGGACTTGTAGAAGCCTCCCAGGACAATCTTAGAAATTCAGGCAGATTTAAGCAGGAGAAAGGAGTCCTTTAGGGTCCTAAAGCACCGTATTTAGGAGGATGATATTCAGTGCATGTTGTCATTAGCAATGGAATTGGATATGCACAGCGGGGCTGAAGCCCACCAGACCCATGTGAGTGTGTGTAAAGGAAAGAAAAGCTTAGGTGTGGTTTTGGCACATGTGAGAAATGCACTCTCCTCTTTCTGTGGGAGGGAGAGATGCGCTTGCTTCCCATGCTCAGTAGGTGGAGCTGCAACTCCAGGAATTGTGATTCTGTGCCCTTGTATAGTTATTCCCCTTCTGCAAACCAGTGGGCCTTCTCAGGTGGGAGCCAAAAGGTGGGTGATGTTTGGCACCATGTAAGGACAGTAGAGCAAGAGGTGCACAGATCTGGCTCGTCAGGTACAACAAGAAGGAAATCCTGCACCTGAGACCATGCTCTTCTGCAGCTCCTCCCATTGATGGAAATGTCTTGCTTCATTTCAAGGGAGCAGGCGCGGCACTTCTGCATATGTTGTGCCCTAGGTTAGCTGATGACAGGGTTGCAGGATGTCCTGATGGAGGGCTTCCCAAGGGGCACCTGCGATGGCCACAATAGGATGATGGACTAGGCAGGAGCAGCAGAAGCTGCTCTTCTACCCTCAGACCAGCATTCCTTCTAGCCCACTATTAAGGAAGGGCCAGAGCTCAGTAAGAGAGCATCTGCTTTGCGTGCAGAAGGTCCCAGGTTAAGTCCCCACCAGGTCGGGGTGAGAACACCCCCTCTCTGAAATGGTTGGGAACTGCTGCCAGTCAGTGCAGACAGTACTGAGTGAGATGGACCAGTGGATTCGTTCGACTACATTGTCTGGCCAGCAGCTCTCCCAAGTTTTCAGGCAGGGTCTCCAAGTCCTTGCTGGAGATGTCAGAAGTTGAATTTGAGACCTTCTGCATGAAAAGCATGTGCCCTACACATTCCTGCCTGCAGATCTCTGGCACTTCTCAAGTGCTTGTGTCTAATGGGAATGTCTCCTTCAACTTGGAAGGGTCAAGAGATGTGTGAAGAAACCTCTGACTTTGCATGGCTCAGATATAGCCTCCTGCATAAGACTAAGAGTCATGTCCGTTGAGCTGCTCGCCTGCATCTCTGGCGGTGCCCATCTTTGTCAGGTAGCCCCTGCCAGGTTGCCTATGAGAGAATTGGGCTGGGAAAGATTCCATGCCTCTGCTCTAACCACTCACCGTGCTGGTTTTAGTGTAAAACACATGCACCCAGCACGTGTGCCAATCCACTTGATGCACTGTTACCCCACTCTTCCAAACCAGTATGTTTACTGGACTTCTGAGGAGGAATTGTGGTGGACTAGATGTTGACTGCTGACACTCCTGTCAGCAGAGATAATCATGTACGGGCTCACTAGCAGTACATGTGGAAAGGATCAGCAGAAGTCTAGTGTCCAGATCAAAGGACGTTATAGTCCCACTCTATTCTTCCTTGGTCAGACCACATCTGGAATACTGGGTCCAATTCTGGGCACCACAATTTAAGAAGGATGGTGACAGGCTGGAAGGCATGCAGAGGAAGGGTGACCAAGATGATCAAGGGTCTGGGAACCCAGCTTTCTGAGAAAAGGTTGAAGGAGGTGGGTATGTTTAGCCTGGAGAAGAGGAGACTGGGAGGAGATATGAGAGCCATCTTCAAATATCGCAAGGGTTGTCACATGGAAGATGGAGCAAGCTTGTTTTCACCTGCTCTAGAAGCAATGGCTTCATGTCACAAGAAAGGAGATTATGACTCAACATCAGGAGAAATTTTCTGACAGTAAGAGCAGTTTGGCAGTGGAACAGACTCCCTGGGGAGCTTGTGGCCTCTCCTTCCTTGGAGGCTTTTAAGCAGAGGCTGGACGGCCATCTGTCAGGGATGCTTGAGCTGGGATTCCTGCATCGCAGGGGGTTGGACTAGATGGCTCTTGGGGTCCCTTCCAACTCTGCAATTCTGTGATTCTATTCTTGCTTTTCTCTCTCTCTTGCTTTCTCTTTACATTAGCTTGGCTTTTATTGTATTTTATGTCGAAAACTTCCAATAAAAATTGATAAGAACAAAAGAACAAACCAGTATGTTTACTCTGGTAACTTGGAAGCATTCTGTTGATTTTGATCTCTGAGGGCAAGTCCAGCTTGCTCAAAGGCCTGGAATTTGATGTTGCTTCCAAGTTTAATCCCGGGATGACCCAGTTCTTTATCATCATCAGGCCTTCCTGATGAGTTTGCATCCTCTTCAGTTTTTGACCTTGGAAAGATGAGGGTTGGGCTGGGCTGCCTGCCAGGTGCTGCCGCTGCCGCCACACTCCCTTCAGTGCTGCTGTCTCCTGGTGCCCGCTGAAAGCCTGATTCCAGTTGCTGGATCTGATGGTCTCGTGCTACTCACCTTCAGTCTAATGGGAATATAGGAAGCTGCCTCCTGTCAAGTTGGCCCGTTGAACTAAGTGTTGCTGACACTGACTGGCAGTGACTCTTCAGGGTTTGGGGCAGGGAAATGTTGAGGACTGAAACTGGGAACCTTCTGTGTTTAAAATGTGCACTCTGCTACCTCCAAAATAAAATCCTTCCCTCTCTTAATAAAGTAAGATTCCAGCCCTCATGATTCTGAATAAAGGACTGATTTTAAACGAGACAAATCCTTATTCCATTGAGCCAGTTGCAAAGTGTGTGCTCTGAGCTATGGCCCTCCGCCAGCAACTTCTGCAAGTCAGCTTCCCTACAAACTGGTGTCCTCCC